GAGCTGAGAGGGGTGAGGCGGGAGAGGAGGCTGGCAGAGGCGAGGCTCTGCTGCCGCCCTCCCTGGCCCCTGCTCCCACTCTCCCCTCGGAGCCGGGGCTGAGGAACAGGCCCAGAGCCCTGAGTTCCTGGTGGGGGGAGGGTGTGCAGAAACACAGGGGCTGTGGTGAAGGTTGAACTGGGGAGGGGAGGGGGCTACTCTGAGTGTGTCTCTCAGGGTGGGACGGGACCTTTGGTTCCAGGTATCTGGTGTGGGAAGACCCAGGACCCCAACCCCAGAATGTGTGTCTGTATATAGCCCTGTGTCTATGTCTCCACATGCAGGTATGCATAGAGGTACATGTGTATACATGTGTGTGTGCAAGAATGTGCACGTGTGTGTGCAAGTGTGTGTGTGGATGCATGTACATGTAAACATCTCTGTGTGTAGGCATGCATGTGTGTGTGCGTGTGTGTATGTTTATATGCAGATCTCAGATCCGTGGGCCTCTCTGGGCAGTGTTTTTTGTCAAGCCCCTGTGGGAGTATGTGGACGTGTGCGAGTGCCCACATGGGGATGTGTTTCTGTTTCTTTCCCTGTACACGCGTGTGCATGTGTGTGCGCCTGGGTGGGTCCTCTCACATGCTCTATGGGTGGGAATGAGCGTGTGATCGTGTCAGTGTGTGGGTGCGTGTGGGTGCCCCTCCCGCCTGTGTGGCCCTGAGGGTGAGTGTGTGCGTTTGTGGGGGTTAGTGTGCACCTTTGTCCACTCTGGCTCCTGCCCGTGAGTAGGAGGGGCCGGGCATGGCTGTTACCCTGCGTGGGAGCCCATGAGCTCGGCGTGTGCCCCTGTGTCGGTGTGTGTGAGCACACGGGCGCCCGTATGCAACCGTATGCAAGAGACAAGGCCGTGAGTCTGCTCACACCTCTGGGGGCATGTGTGCGTGTGTGGCGTGCGCCTGTGTATAAGTGTGTGTGCATGTGTGAGTGTGTGTGTCTTTGTGTTTCCTTGGCCTGGATGGGGGGCGGTGGCTCCCTGCACCCCGCCAGCATTGCCTCACCCTGTGACACAGCCACTAATGACTGTTTGCCATTGTCTGTGTGGTGGTGGCATCACCCGTGCTAATGACAGTCTCCCCTGCCTAATGACCTGGCTTCTGCCCCATCATTTGGGAGCCACTGGAGCACTGGGCCTGTGGCCAGAGAGATGCTGATGAGATCAACACATTTCCTGCTGGGGTATCTTGGGGGTGGGGAGAAGCCCAGGCCCCACCTCCCCGGCAGCCCCTGGGTGCCCTTGGGGGCCGGGACTCTCAGCCAGCTGGTGGTGCTCGTGGGTAGGAAACCCCGGATCTGGGCCCTGCCCCCTGACTCCAGAGGCGGCTGCTTGAGGTGGCTGCTGCCCTAACTCCCTGTTGGCTTCTTACACGTCCCCCTGGACCACCAACAGACTCGCGGGAAGCCCCCTGGACAGAAGCTGCCTTCCGCCTTGAGCTCCCAGGGCTTCCTGACCGCTGAGAATCGAGACAGAGCCTCTGAGAGGACCCAGGGCCCAGGGGGGCTCTAGACTGTGGCCACTCTGGGCGACGAGAGTCTGGGGTAACCGGGAGCTTGGAGGGTGCAGAGCAAGTGCCCTCTGGAGGCCAAGGGCCCCTGTGTCTCGTATGATTGGAATGAAGTTAAAATCGCCTCTGGACTCCAAAGAGGGAGCTGAGAAAGGGCTGCTGACCCCTGTCTGTGAACCGGAAGCAATCTGTGTATCCTCTGCTGCAGCTTGGAGTCTGCTCTCTGTGTCCTGCCAAGGTTCCCACTCTCAGGTCTGACTCCTCCTGCCGATAGTCACCTGGCCAAGCAGATAAACCCAGTCAGGCTTCTCCTGCAGCCGTAAAGAAGAGGTTCCTGGGGTTGTGGAGCTGGTTCAAAGGACTGGGACTCCCATGTAGGAGGCCCGGGTTCAATCCCTAGCACCACGTGCTCCCTCAAACACTACTAGGAGCAGCTCCTCGGCACTGAGCTGGGAGGAACCCCCAAGACCTGCCGGTGGTGACCCCAACTCCATACCATCCACCAACTGCAGCCCCACCCCCTGCCGCCCCAAAAAGAAGAGGGTCCTACTTGGTATGACTTGCAGATTACTTTTGGGAACTGAGAACGCTCAAGCACTTCTTCCAGATCAATGAATGGCAATACCACCTCCAGATCCCCCCTCCCCTCAGAGAGTGGGAACGCCTGGACTCTGCCTCTGGAACCAGCTGTGTGACCCAAGATGATAATGTTCTTCTGCAAAATGGGGTCTGATGGTGCCAGCTCAGGCCAATGGACACACTTTGATTTCTATTCTTGTTACTGAGCCCCTTTTATTTTTGTATTTTATTTTGTTTTATTTTGGTTTTTGGGTCACACCTGCCGATGCACAGGGGTTACTCCTGGCTCTGCCCTCAGGAATCATTCCTGGCAGTGCTCAGGGGACCATATGGGATGCTGGGAATCGAACCCGGGTCGGCCGCGTGCAAGGCAAACACCCTCCCCGTGGTGCTAAAACTCCAGCCCCTGAGCCCCTTTTATAGCTAGGTACTAGGTCCAGATTGTGAAAGTCCACAGTGGAGGGGGCTGTCCATGGTCTCCTGGGACGTCCAAGGGAAGGGTTGGAGGTCTCGTTGGGCGGCAGGAGTATGGCCTGGTTCCTGAGGCCAACAGGAAGCAACCTGGTCTTGGAAGAGTTATTCTCTTTCTAGTATTATTAGTTTTTTTGTTTTGGGGTGACACCCGGCAATGCTCATGACTTACTCTTGTGTTTGCACTCAGGGATCAGTCCTGGTGGAATTGGGGACCATATGTGGTGTTGGGATTTAACTGAGGTCAGCCACATGCCAGGCAAACCCCCTATCACCCAGCCCCCTCGGAAAGATGTTTTTTTTGTTTTGGGGCCACCACCAGCAGTGCTCTGGGCTTACTCAGGATCGCTTCTGGTCCAGGGGACCATAACAGAAGCTGGGAATTGAACCCAGCTGTATTGTCACTCTGGTCTCCGTTGGTGTAGGATAACACTGTTTTGTTCTTCCTCAGGTGGCTTAGGTTTATCGGGTCACACCCATCAAAGGACACTGAACTTGTAATGTAAGCAGTGTCCTTTCTGTATGGACACAGGAAGACAGCTAATCTTATGCTCTGTAACTTGGGAGTTGATTGACTCCAAATAATATTGACTCCTGGGCATCTGCTTTCTTGACTCAGTTGCCCTTAGTTCCTAGCACCCCAAAAGCAGGGTCCCGACGAGGGACTGAATGGATCCAGGCCTTGGGAGGGTTTTTAAATGGAGAAGCTTCTCTATGGGAGAAGCTGATCTCGTCCAGATACTCCTGACAGGGTTCCCACTGCCAGACAGTCTCTCCTGGGGCCAGTACCAGTACCTACCCCTGTGGAGAAACTGCCGGATGAAGGACTTTCATCAGGGAGGCTGTTTGATTACCGAGAGGAACAAATCCCAGAGGACAGGCGTCCCAGAGGCGTCCTTGGCACTCCTGAAGGGCAGGGACTAATTCTTCTGCAACACGCGCTTAATTAGATCTGGGGACTCCCAACTTGTGATGACCGTAGACGATGTGGCTTTGTGTGCACATTTGCAAAGCCTGATAGGAACAGACAGATGAATAGATGGAGGGGACGCGGCGTGCAGAGGCAAAACTGGGTGGGGTTGGCTGGGCAAGGCTTCCTGGAGCAGGGGGTGGGGACAGGCCAGGGAGGGACAAGACTTTGCCTCGGCGTGGGGGCAGGCGGGGGGAGGCACCGGGACCTAGCCTCCCAGCGACATCATCTCAGAACTAGCTGGTTCCTGGGAACCCTGGCTCAGGCATGACCTGGTCGCCTGGGAATCTGCCCTGCCTTCTGGGTGGGGATGGTCCAGCCACACGCTTGTCCAGCTGACTTGGTGTCGCTTGCAAATGACACGGAGAGGTGGCGTGGCCCTGGGCTGGTCCTGGCCCTAGGGACACGGGCCCAGATTTGGCTGAAGTCCGATCAGGCGTCTTCCTGTGGGATGTTTTGGGAGAGAGGAGGATGCGTGTGGCAAGGCCCAGGGCAGACTCTGAGGAGTAGAGGGGAGAGGCTATCTTATCATCTCCCACTTTTCTCTCTCAGGGTGCCCGGAATGGGGACAGCACCCCACCCAAAGGAGAAAACTCAGCTTCACAGAGGTGCAGGCTGGCGGGCGCCTGGGCCAGCCCTGCCCTGCACACTGGTCCCTGGAGCACGGGGCTTGGGAGGGGAGGATGGAGCGTGTGTGATGGGGTGATGATGGGGTGGAGATCCAGGGACTGTGAAAGAGGTGCCACTCAGGGCTCCCCTCAGGGGAACAGCGCATCCCAGACCATGGTCCAGGGCGGGCCCAGGTGTGGAGCACTGGTGGGAGAGAGGGAGGGAGGAACAAACCCCGTGGGGGGTCCCTGTAGGAGGGGTGGTGGTCAGCCAGGCTGAGATGCTGGAAGAGCTGGAGCTCCCTGGTGGGGTGCGGAGGCCCTGTGGGGAGTCTAACTGAGTCTAACTGGTCGGAGAGGGCAGTGAGGGGGTCCAGGCCGGGGCTGTTGTGGGGCTTCATTTCCAGCAAGCGGCAGATGGAGCCGGGATAGAAGGAGCCAACCCCCCAGACATGAGGCCAAGGGCTGGGGGAGGACTCAGAGCACTAGGGAGCATCTGGAGGGGGTGGAAGAGGGGGCTGGGGTTGAAGACAGGGGGTTCCTCCAGTCAGCCCTCCCCAGGGCAGCCCAACCTTGGGGCAGAGGCATCTATCTGGGGTTCACTTTATAATTGGCATTTAGGTGCGTGCTGGCTGCAGCCTCCGGAGTGGCGGTGGCTTGAGATTCCTGCCCTGCAAAGTCCCCGCTCGAGATGGACAGAACCAGCCGTGCAGACAGAAGCCAAGGGATGCAGGAGGAGAGACACCACTGGCCTTTGGGGCGGGGCAGCCGGGCATCAGGGGACGGGGGTCTCCGGTGGAGGCCCAGGGATGCTGCGAGCCCGCAGGGATGCCTCTGCTGCAGGTCTTCAGGCTTCCCGCCTTCCAGCTGGGCTCCGTGCCCAGGACGGCTGTCAGCGCCCGCTCTGAGCCAGCGCCTGGCAAACGCAGCCATGAGCTCATGGGGTGGGGCGAGTTGGCAGGTCCTGTCTCCAGCAGAGCCATGGCAGGTGCATGGCAGAGCCCTGGGCTGGCGCCTCGGTAATCTCCCTCCTCCCCGTCCCTTGCAGGGATGTGGCTCCTCCACCCGCCATGGTGGCCTCCTCCACCTTGGGCCAGGAGGAGGTGGAGCTCAGGTTGGCCTGAAGGCTTGGGCTGATGCTTCCGGGGGGCTTGTTCTCCAAAGACGGGCTGGTGGGTGAGCACAGCAGGGAGGCAGTGGGAGCACACGCAGAGCCGCAGAGGACGGTTTTGGGTCCTGCTCTGGGCCCTGGTCTTGGCCGGAAGTTCTTGGGGAAGCTTCACCATGATTTGGAGTACGAGAACGCTCAGGCCCATGTCAGAGCCAAATCTTAAGGGACAAATCTTAAGGGTTCGTGAGGCTGGTTTCCAGAAGCCCCTGCGGGCTCCCCAGCCTCCTCTTCCTCCCCTAGATCGTTAAGTAGGGGCTCTGGAGGCAGGGGGGAGGTGGAGGGGGCGGGCAGGATAAGAGGCACATACACATTCCAGAAGGTGGACGTCAGCTGTAGAGGTGGGTGGGCCTGCTTTTGTTTGGCACCTCCTGAGTCAGACCAGAAGGAAGAGCATCGGGGAGGGGGGTGGGAGACGGCAGCCCTCTGACCTCTGACCTCTGGGGTCTCTCCTTCCTCCTCTGACCTCCGGGGGTCCTCTGAAGAGGGAGATGGTGCCAGTGCTTAAACGCACGTGCCTATGTGTTCCAGTCTCCCGGGATGCAGCTTTCTTTGGCATCCTTCAGTCCTTGAGAGATGTCTGGGCCAGACTCAGTATCTGTGAGGGGAACTGCACTCTGTTCTTGGGTACAAGATAGTCTTGACTACATAATGCTGTTCCTCCAATGTTCGGCAGACCACGGATTCGACACCGGACATTCCCATCCTTCCTCCCACGGGATCTTTTTCTCTGTTCCTTTCCCCAGGAACTGCATTCCCTTCCCCTTTGCTGAGAACGATCCGGGGTCTAGGGCATGACCAGTGCCCGCGGGGAGCCCAGGCTTCCACATGCCTCCCTCCCCCATTCCTCAGCTCCCGCGGCATGGGACCCATCATTTCAAGTCCACACACGCCATGAGCGTGACGCGGGTGACTTCCAGCGTGGGAGCGGCCAACCCACAGGTGTGCCCGGCAGGCTGTGGCCACGTCTGCTTCCGTGTGTCTAGGCCCAGGTCCTGGGTCAGTGGGTCTGCACACAGACCCATTCCCAGGCCAGGTGGCTGCACAAATGATCGGAATCCAAGGATGAATGACCCCCGCTCCTCTGCGTCTAAAGACAAGGCTTGCCCACAGCGGGAACCAGTTTCCTGGGGACACTGGGTGTCAGGGCACCCACGTTCCGGCTCCTTCCTTTAGTCCTGTTGCCTCCCTCATCCGGACAAGCCTCTCTCTCCTCTCCTTCCCGTCTCTGTTCTTGGCTGATCTTTGCACCTTTCAGCTTCACCCATCCAGAACCTTCCATTCCTCAAGGGCGACCTGGCCTGCCTCCACCCTGAACCCACCTTGCGTTTCTCTCCCTTCTCCTGCATCATTAGTAGCTGGTCCTGCTATTTCCCGTTCCCTAATTGTCTGTAGCGCAAATTAATGCTTTATTACTCGATGCTCTAATGACCCGAGTTCTAACCAGGCTCAATTGCTTCCCAGTCGTGTGACCTTGGGCTAGTTACTTAACATTCTTAATCCTCACTTTTATCATCTGTAAAATGGGACAGACATTCGATCCCAGTTTCGGACGCCAGAAGCTCAGAGGAGAGGGTTGAGTTTGAAAAACAAAAACAAGAAGACTAAAAGCTGGGGGGTGGGAGTGAGTGATGATGGAAAGGCAGGCCGGGGTTAGCTTGGGGAGGGGGGCCCAGCCAACAGAAGCTATGCTATTGGCAGTAGGAAGACTTTGAGCTCTTTGGGGAAGGGAGGTCACTACCCTCTCCCTCCTCCCCTTCCTCCCCCGAGTGGGGTGGCCATAAAGTGGCGTGGAAAGTTGCACGAGCTTTGGAGTTGGCAAAACTGGACTTGAATTGGGGCTGGAGCGATAGCACAGCGGGTAGGGTGTTTGCCTTGCATGTGGCCGACCCGGGTTCAATTCCCAGCATCCCATATGGTCCCCTGAGCACCGCCAGGAGTGATTCCTGAGTGCAAGGTCAGGAGTAACTCCTGTGTATCTCCAGGTGAGACCCAGAAAGCAAACAAACAAACAAACAAAAAACTAAACAACAACAACAACAACAAAAAAAAACCAAAAACAAAACAAAAAAACAACCGGACTTGAATTCCAGTTGTACGTCTGCTTCGCTGGATGGGGTGCAGAGATCGGTCACTCCCTCTGAGCCGCCTTGACGATCAGTAAAGCCAAGAGGCCGGCCGGCCCATGGAGTTATGGGAAGGATTAGCTATGCAACCATGTATAAACTGCTTAGCACGGAATCTCATTCTTCCTAAGCGCTTAGCCAAGGCTGATGATACCTGCCGTCTCCGTCATCGACATCATCCTAGCTCAGGGCGGCTCGCACCCTGGCCTGGCTTTGTCCGGCCCCAGCGGGGTGGGGAGCAGGCGCCATCGTTCCTTACCACTGGGAAGCTTCCCTGGGCCAGGGCCCACATGCAAAGTCTCCTGGCTCCATGCTCCAGGAAGTGAAGGGTGGAGAAGTTGTGACATCACCCCGGGGCCTCTGGTCTCCAGGGGCCCTGCCCCTGTGTGTCGCCTGCCCCAAGGACGGTCCCTGAGGCCTCAGGCAGCGCAGCTTGTGAACCTTTATGAAGAGCGGCAGAAGGAGCACCCAGAGTGGAGCAGAGCTGAGGGTGGGCTAGCTGCCCCCTACCCCCACAGCACCTTGTAACCAGCACTGGAGCACTGTTGGGGAGGAACGCTTCCACACCAGCCTGGGAACAGCCAGTGCTTCTTGGATAATACACACAGGAGTGGCTGGGGGGTTGCTTTGGGACGGGGCCAGGCAGGGGAGCACAGGGCGGTGAAACCCCTGCAGGGAGGGTGCGAGGCAGGGGTTGAGGATGAAGAACGGACGTTGTGGTGGCGGAGAGCAGGGCATGGGTTGGGGAGAGGAGTTGAGGCCAGAGAAATGCACAGGGCCTTTGAACGCCACCAGAAAGAGTGAGCACTGTCCCAGGAGCAGCGGGAGGGATGGAAGGGGAGAAACTTGGGGCCCGGGTGTAGTGGGGGTGAAGGAGGCTATGTGCTGATTTCACCCCCTTTTTTTTTTGCTTTTTGGGTCACACCTAGCGATGCTCAGGGGTTCGTCCTGGCACTGCACTCAGGAATTACCCCTGGCGGTGCTCAGGGGACCCTATGGGAGACTGGGAATCGAACCCAGGTCGGCCGTGTGCAAGGCAAATGCCCTGCCCGCTGTGCTATTGCTCCAGCCCGATTTCACCTTTGCAGGAGACAGGTGATGGGGATCTGCTTCCTACCAATGGAGAGGAGATGGGTGTGGAGAGAAGGCGTGGGTCCATCGCGGGGTGCTGAGGTGGGCGTGCATGGGTGGGGCCTGGTGGAGAGGGGGGCGCCGAGATGCACCAGGCTGTCCTAGACGAGAGCCGGCAGGGCCCCGAGGGTGCTGGTGCTGGGGTTCCACCACCCGAGCCTTCCAGCCCCAAAGGCGTCTCGGCATGGGCCCTCAGATGAGATGAGCCTCCGCCCTGAACCCCAACATTCTCACCTGAAAGGGGGGTGGGATAGCTTCCTCCTTACCCCTTTCCCCAACAGCCTCCTTTCCCCATCTGGGCTGAGTTCTGGGGTGCAGAAACCCGGAGAGGCAGAGCCCGTGACCCCCCACCCCCCCCCAAACAATCTGCAGCGGACTCTGGCCATGCCGGCAGTTCTCTTAGAGCACTTTGTGGGGGGCTGGGGCGGGGGGCTCCGTGATCAGGTGAAGAGCCCTTGGATAAAGTCAAGGCCCAGCGCTGCTCTGTGGCCTGAGCCGCTCGCAGTGCCTGACGCCACGAGCACAGGGCCAGGGCTCCCCCAGGCCCGAGGACAGGGCGACGGGTGACAGTGGAGGCTTAGATAAGGGCCGAGCCCCGGAATTCTCCATCCTCAGATGTCTCCTCACCCAGGGCCAAATCCGGAGCGAACAGTCCGGTGCGGTCCACCGGGCAACTCGAACTTCCGGTGCTGACTCAGACCGAAGTCTTTCCCCACTTGGGGGAGCAGCTGGGAGAGCAAGATCAGAGATGCTCACCCCCCCCCCCCCCACCCCGCCTCTTGCTGGAGATGGTCCTCATGGTCCTCATGTGGGTCAGGCAGGCTGGGGCGCTGCAGGGCTGAGGCTGAGTCCATTCCCCGGGACCACACCCTGAGGTAGGCTGGGGCCCGTCCTCCCACCAGAGGAGGGGGCAGCGGTGAAGGGGGAGGGGAGGGAAGAGGGACGATGGAAGGGAGGGGAAGTGGGGGAGGGGGACAGAGAGAGGGAGGGGAGCAGAGGGGCGAGGGAGGGGAGCCCTGAGTGCCTTGGTGGAGACTGACTTCCTGCCTTCCCTCCCAGGTGCCTGGCCCTCCAGAGCTCGCCGGGGACCTCCCTCCTCTGGAACCTGCCCTTCCCTTTGATCCACAGTTCCCCCTGCCTCCCGAGTACACCCTTGCCCTCTCAGTCCCTTCTCTTGGGGTGGCCGGGGGTTTCCCTTCTGGAGGCTCCTAGCACGTCCTGGGCACATGTGCAATTCCTTTGGTGTCTCCCAGCCTCTGCCCTCTGACCCACAGAGGGGAGCTGGACTGTCCCCCAATCTCCAGAATGCCCCTGCTGCGGTCTGGAGAGGGAGCGAGCCCCGGGCCGAGAGCTGCTACCGCCCTGCACCCACTATACCAAGCCCCTGTCTCCCTCCGTGTCCGGTCCACTGTCCCCCCTCCTCTTGGGCTTTGTCCCCCCACCATATCCCTCCATTCTCTCCCTTTCTCTCTCCACACTACCCCCTCCAGTACTTCTCTTTCCAACGTCCTTACTCCCCCTGGCTCTTCCCCTGACTCGGTTGCCCCTTCCTGAGCTCAAGCTGAGTCTCTCCTAGTGATGCCCTTCCAGCATGTATGTGCGGAGTCCTTCCTCTCTCCTCAAGCCCTAAGACATGTGTGGCCCCGGCCTGTGGCCCCAGGGTGCCACCTGCTGCCTCAGGTCTACTCC